TCACATGCACAAGGCATTGCACCATGCTTGCATAGACCGTTTAAGATGAGCTGACACGGTCATTGGCCAGACCAAGGAAAGCCTTCCAAGAGTTATCGCTGTGTTTCCAACAACTATATTGTCGAGTCCCTGATAATGGCACAACATAAAGGCACTTAGCTGGAATTATCGCTCGACTAGGAAACCTGGTGATAAAAGAAATTACCTCTGAAGACCTTAGAATAGGAAGCAGCCGTGATAGAATGGTGGTCACCACTGGTGATGAAGTTTCTTGGCCGAACTGAAAAGATATAGTCAGGCGGACATGCAGACGATTTTAAAAGTATGTCTGAGGCAAGAAACTGAGGTGGCCTACAGCCCAAAACCTTATAAATGCAGTTTTCAACTGGAAACCCATGTCAAACGGCTGGCACTAGAAACTTGCACAAGTGGGAGGGTGCCCGTGTCAAAGAATAGGAAATACTTCTACTACATGTACATATATTAATCTAGGTAGTATTGCTAAAAGCAGCACGAACCTTCATTGCCAGTTCCCCGATGATCCAGCATGCATTGTTTGCTACAGATGGTGCAGCCTTCACGGATTGCATTATCTACGGTAATGATATTATATGAGGATCTACAGCATTGTAAGCTACTGGGCACAGCAACCTTCAATGGACCACAGAGTGTACTTACCAGTTGCTCTGCTGCAACTTCAAGGAATTCTTCAAGTCTTGGAAGTACATGTGTATGGCAAACCTAGTATATGCAAAAGCGTTACTTTTTTTATGGGTTGAATATTCTCATGGAGATAACAAATGTTAAGTTTTGTTCTTTGCAACCAACCATAGAAATTCGGCCCAGAAGGGCCAGAGCACTTTGTCGAACACCAGCTACTTTATCCTTGCAGCATCGCATAATGAGGTCAATCAAATCACTTCGCGCGACCTAAACCGAAAACAAAGATGGCTTACCCAGTGCCCAAGATGAAGTGTTGCTCATATAACACAAATATCTAATCAGCAGACAGAGGACAAGAAGCATTATTCTACAACTCCCAAGTTGATCATTCGATTAGTGCATGGTTAGCATTATCATAAACTTAAACTTCCAATCAACTTACATGCAAAACTCTCATCTTGTACCATGTACTGAAGCCAACCTTAATAACAGCTCACAGTTAGACTATTAAATGGAACCAAAGTGGTCTTAGTAAGTCCAACTTTGCCTTCTGCTTGCCAACACATACTGTAACCTAACATTACTCAGAGGTGCTCAGCATTGAGAACTTACAATGGACCAACAACTATCAGTTTTCACAAGTCCAGAAGTGTCTATTCTGCACACGTGGTACTAATAATACACTCCCTCCACCCCCAAATTACTTGTCGCAGTCGACATTTCTGCGACAAGTAATTCGGAACGGAGGGAGAGTACTAAGTAAATCTGTTAGGAATATGCAACTTGTATTCCCATGAGGCCATAGGCCGATATATATATACATGTACAGGTGTGGAACATATATATATATGCAGGAAACCCCTTATACAACGGGATAAATACAAAGGGGTACATGACTTATATTATAACTCTAACACCCCCCCTCAAACTCATGGTGGATGAACAACACTGAGTTTGGAGAGATAAAAGCCATGTTGTGCTCTAGTCTGAGCCTTCGTCAGCAAATCCGCCAACTGTAACTCGGAAGGCACATACTGAAGAGCAATAACCTGATCCTGCACAGCAGCACGCACATAGAACGCATCAACACCAATATGCTTGGTGAGCTCATGCTTCACAGGATCGCGTGCAATGCTGATAGCACCCGTACTGTCAGATAAAAGCAGAGTTGGTGTAGTGACAGAAACACCAAAATCCTGAAGTAACCACCGTAACCAAGTCACCTCTGCCGTCAAAAGAGCCATTGCTCGCAACTCAGCCTCGGCACTCGAACGGGAAACTGCAAGCTGTTTCTTCGTCTTCCAGGCAATGAGAGATTCGCCAAGAAAAAGAAGAAGCGAGAGGAGAGAAAAGCGAAACCCTAAACCCCCGTATTCCCAGACCTTCGATCCGATCCGACCCGACCCGAACCGACCGGCGGCGATGGCATGGTATGTCGTCTTCGTCGCTCTCTCTATGGTCTTAAGCAAGCCCCCCGCGCCTGGTTTGAGCGCTTTGCTTCTGTGATCACTGCTGCTGGTTTTTTAGCCAGTGCTCATGATCCAGCATTGTTTATTCACCTTTCTCCTCATGGTCGGACTCTTCTTCTTCTTTATGTTGATGACATGATCATCACGGGGGATGATCCCGAGTATATTGCCTTTGTAAAGGCCCGTCTTAGTGAGCAGTTTCTTATGTCTGATCTTGGACCTCTTCGCTACTTTCTTGGGATTGAAGTCTCTTCTACCTCTGATGGCTTTTTTATATCCCAGGAAAAGTATATCCAGGATCTTCTTGCTCGTGCTGCTCTTACTGACGAGCGCGTTGTTGAGACTCCTATGGAGCTCAATGTTCACCTTCGTGATGCAGCAGACATTTTTTTTTAGGAACCAACAAGAGCACCAGCGACAGCAGAGGACGCTAGCGATGGGATCCTAGCGGAAGAGAGAGCGCTGGGGGATCGAGGCCGGCCCGTCGATCGGGAAAGAGGGCAGTTGGGACCCGGCTATCTTGGGCAGCTCAGCTGGATCGCGGGCGGGACCTCGTGGCTGAAGCACGAGCGGAGCCGGGCAGGAATCGATCGGGAACCGGGCACGGATCCTGGCGGCGGCCGCCGATTCCGCCGTAGGGGAGGGAGGTGTCCCGAGAGCAGTTGCGTCCCGGCGTGGAAGTCGCGCCGGAGCTGGCTGGGGAGATCCGATCGGGAGGGCCGGCTTCGATCGGGAGACTCAGGAGATCGAGGACGGGGGCTTCGAGCGAGATGAGACAGGCGGCTGGGAATCGATAGCACGAGTTGCAACGTGCAGAAAAAATTACCCTAGCTCTAATACCATGTTAGGAATATGCAACTTGTATTCCCATGAGGCCATAGGCCGATATATATATACATGTACAGGTGTGGAACATATATATATATATGCAGGAAACCCCTTATACAACGGGATAAATACAAAGGGGTACATGACTTATATTATAACTCTAACAAAATCAATGTACAGAAGACAAGGAAAGATATGAATATTCCATTGTACAGATAAGTTCAAAGAAAACTGACGGTCATTTATATCTAACAATGCTAACACAGCACTGAGAAAGCATCTAAAGAAGAAAATATCAACGAACAAATAATTCAATTTACCAGGCTTTCAGTATCAGCACCAAGTGCTTCTGCAAGTACTAACAAAAGGTCCAATGAGTAGACGATGAAATCTTTATCGTGAGGTGCGGCAGGATCAGCCTACATGTAGAAAGGAAAGATCCCTCAAGAAACATAATGGCACAGCTTATCTCTGATGTAACCGGACCCTATAGTAATACCCGCAGCCGTGGCCATCAAGACTGATGTAAAACGTGTGAAACAGATTATTGTTCAGTTGACCTACGCCCAGTGTACTTAACAGACTAGACATGCTACAACAGGAAAAATACCTCTGAACCTAGACTGATCAAAACCTTTCATACGACATTATCTAATTAAGATCAACGTCAACATCATAACGTGTTTCCCTTAACAACAAAAATGATGAAGATGCATTCTGTATGTGGTACTAACCGATTTGTACTGATATAACTAGAAAGTACCGGTTGGAAAGATTCAAGTGACGCCACATTATTAGTTTCTTCTCCAAAGAAGTGATGAAGAAAATACATCAAGCATTTGGTGTTTAACATCATATCACCATTCACCAAGGCCTAGTTAAAATAAAAAACTTGCTTATCCTAGCAACTAGGGCATGTGCATTGTGTGGTTCCATAGAAATCACAGTGCATAAGTTAATGCTACCACTGGAAGCAAAGGTTTGAAGTAAAGAAAGAACATTCAGACAAGTATTGTTAACTGCAAATAAAGAATACGGAACACCAAATTTCGCACGAAAGGAAGTATTAATACTTTGGAAGGATCAGCGAACAACTTAAACATCACGAACTGAAATCTGTTGGATAGAATAATGGTGACAAAAATACTCAACAGGGATAACTCAGCTATGCATTATAGTAGGAAGTAAAATACAGTATACGTACATTTGCCAACTGCTGGAACTTGATAAGATCTAGGCTGTTCTGAAACACTGGCTCAGCAAACTGAAAAAATCCGGATCCCGCTGCCTGAAAGTAAATTGAAAGGCATTAGGATCTCAATATTATAGTGTAACTTTACAAAATGCATAGAATGAAACTTATGATAGACTGCCAAAGATACTGTAGGTGTTGCCATCACGTAAATATTTGACCACAATGTAATGCAAACTTGGTTCTACTGTAATTATTAGGTACACCAAGCTCAGGATTCAAAACTACAAGATGGTCTTTCAGACATAAAAAGAGCAGCACCTGTGCGATAGATGTAAAGCATTCAAGTAGGGGCAAGATATCTTTATTAGATTTTTGAAGTTGCTGCCACTTCTCGATCAATGGAGGAACAACTATGTGCAGATGTTCTGCCTGCACGACAAGGAACTAACAATATCAATAAGGAACTACTCCCTCCGTTCCAAAATAGATGACCCAACTTTGTAATACACTAAAAAGCATAATGACAAAACCATCACAGAAATCTATCTCATTATCTATGTAAACAGCAAGTACGAGAAGTTCATCAGCATGTTGAACCTTGTTTAGCTTTGCTCCAACAACATTAGCAAGACTGCAAAGTGCCTCAGAAATTAACCAAAGGTCTCGCATCTGCTCAGAAGCAAAACATAGTATTAGAAGTAAGAAAAGGAAACCTGAGAAAGTTTTTGCTAGATCACAAGTGTCCAATGAGCTCGGAGATTATGATTGTTCGAATTCTGAAGAACCTGGTGTTTCCCAAGTTCTAAGATGAGTTGCTCCAAAATAATTTCCATTCCATTTGATTCTGCAGCATCCTGAAAAACGAAATCAACACATACCAATTATGCACAGAAGATCCAAGCGAGAAAACAACTGCACCATGTGCTTCAGGAAAAGAAAAACAATGTAATAACATCTTTTTCCGTGAGGTACTCCCTCCGTTCGGAATTACTTGTCTCGGATATGGATGTATCTAGAACTAAAATACATCTAGATACATCCATTTCTGCGACAAGTAATTCCGAACGGAGGGAGTAGTAAATAACCTTCCCAATCGTCATGAAGGCAGAACGTGCAGCCTCCTGAACTTTTTTGTTAGTATCTAATATCCTTCTAAGCAGGCCCACGATGATCTTAGCAAATTGTTCATGGTCACAGCTCTACGTCAGCAAAAAGAACAGTGTAACATTAGTTAAAACCATAGTTCTACAGGCTGACCATGCATAGATAAGGAACAGTTCTACATCCGTAAAAAATTAACTGAACCATATGAACCTTTTGGATATCTACACCAGAACATTAAAAACACATACATCAAAATGAGCAGTCCGCTTAAACAAGAACAAACAAGCTTAAATATGTGACATAATATACTTGTTTACTACTATAACCGAACACCACATGTTCTAATGCAATACAATAGAAAATCATGAAGGATTGCAATGAATGGAATTCTTCCAAACGCGTGAGGATAATCAAGACATGTGAGTGCTCTGTTACCTGAACAATGAACTTGCTATATCGGGAAATGGTTTGACAGGTGATTCTCCTTACAAGAGGAAACTTATCATCAAGTAACAGGATCAGCATGTGGAAAATCTGAAATTTAACAAAGCAACTCAGAAAAAGCAAGCATACAATAGGAGGCAATCTAGAAAGATCATAATAATACAGAAGGCAGCAATCGTAAGATAACTAAAAAATGAGTTTATCCCAGAACTAATGATTGCACCAACAGCGTGTTCCTATAAACATTTTGAAAGTTCACATTCTAAGAAGCAATTTCTTGGCTAGGTCTAGAGTGTTCATGAGAGGAGCAAGTATGCAGACTTATTAAAGTGCTTCTCAAAACTAAATTCAGGAATTACGTGGCATGATTGGGTCAATATGATCTGAATCGTGTAATGCAATTGGTATCTTCGCGATATTAATATATTCCCTTTTTCAAAAAAAAAAAGAATCTGTAATGCAGCTTTAGTAATTTCTACCATAACTGACAGATCAAAATTGGCGTTCTTGCAATGCATATGTATACAGCAATGATTAGTCAATTAAATTACCTCCGGAGTGTGGGAATACAATCCAGTCATGCATCCCTCTGCTATAGTATTAAGACATAGAACAGCAACTTCCCTATCCTTCCATCCATCATCATCTGTCTGAGCGAGCTTATCCTGCATAATTACATAAATTCATATATGGTTATCAAAAAGATTTAATGCTCAACACAGAGTGCACCAGTAAAAACGGTACACAAATACCAACTATACCAAGGGTAGGGTTCTGAAAAACACCCTTTACTAGAGAGCCCTACTGCTGTATCTGGCTTCGCCATTGGGACTTTACGTCTTCTATCAACAGCACAACTTTAGGGAATAGACTGTTTCTGTGCCATTGACTACCAGCAGCCTTTGTCAAGCCAATTCGTAGTTGATAAGTCATTTCAATTTCTATGTGAAGCTAAGCCTATTGGTTAAGATATTCTGGTGTGACAACAAATTTTGATAGCAATGATTTGCCAGAGCCAAACATTCTTGCACAACTCTGCCTAACTGCAACCAATTTCCCACCATAAAATGGTAACGATGTATGGTATTTACAGGCTCAGGTCAGAAGGAAATGCTAATCCAGTAGTAACTCAAGCTCATGAAGCATCACTACCTCACTTAAACCAATCCTTTATAAACCCAGTAGTTAGGATATACTAAGAACTAATAATGCAAATTACCTTGATCAAGGGCATTAAAATAGGAAGAATGTCGTCCCTAAGAACCTTAGAAAGACAGTTTAACCCTTCAGTGCTGTATTTCCGCAAATTCCAAGCATTTCAGCATTAGCATCATCATCAGCCTGTCCATATAGCAAGTAAGCTTTTGTAATTTAGCAACTTCCATTGGTCCCTTAAGCCTGAGTAGACAACTAAAGTCATTCAGTTGCTTAAAAATATAACACTTGAACTCACATTCTCCTTCCCAGTTTCAAATCTATGTAATCGAGACGCATGGAAGTGGCGCTTCAGATCCTGTTACATAATTGTCCAGATCTTATTTCAAGCAAGGAAAAGAAGTAGCAGAGATCATCGATATGGTAAACCTACAGTTAGGATTAGCACAAATATAAAACTAATGCTACTCTCTGCTTCTTTTAACATTATAAATCCAGTTTTCGAGGAAAATTACAAGATGCATATGCTAGTTGTAGTTTCTTCCAAAATAACTAACAAAATTGTATAATATGTTTTTTTTTTTGCAGTTCAACACTACAAGAGACTTAGTCCATAGAGCGTCCAAGGCATCCACCTAGGCGCCATTCTTCCCGCCTTAGGCAAATGAAGACGCCTTAGACAGGGCAGGGAGTTCAGGCGGGAAACAGAGCTCTGGGGGTGAAGAGAAGGTCGGGAAACAGAGTCTGAGTGCCCACAGTTACTAGCAGGGGGAGAGAGAGCCCTAACCAGTTTCAGTTTTCCCCCACCCCCACCTCTGGCAGCTACTAGATCTGAGCTTCTCCCCCTCG